GCCTGCTGTTGCTCTGTTGCCTGCCGCTGTGCTGGTCCTTCTATTCCTTCTCACCTTCTTCTCTGCACCAGGCCAGGGGTCACCTCAAAGACAAACACATGGGTCGCCGGCTAGAGAGGAGGAGGAGGGTTAGGGAGCAGAAAAGGAGGAGAAAGAGAGAGAAGGTCAGCGAGTTGAGGGGAATTGGGCTGAAGAGAAACAGCAGAGACAGGGTTGTATGTCTAGGTTGGAAGAGGACATTGGGAGGCTGTTGAAGGAGACGGGGCAATGTGTAAAGGCAGAGTGGGGGAGAGAGAGAAAAGAGGGAGGGGTGGAAGAAGGGGGGGCTCGCTCTTCGCTCTGTGTCCGGGCTTAAAGCCTTTTTAAAGCCAGCCAGAGTGCCTTTTGTCTGTTGATACGATCAGGGGGACTGAAGGAAGTGAAGGAGCACGAGAGTTTTTCTGTCAACCTCTGTGCTGCCTCTGCTGCTGCTTTCAAGGAGACTTGGACAGGGCTATCTGTTTCTCTCTATTTTGCTGTGCTCCAGGCCGTTCACCATGAAGGGCACAGGGGTAAGTCTGACAGCTGAACACATACACAGCGAGAAGACCTTAAGTTGTCTTTGTTTTTTGTTTTTGTTTTTTCAAAAAAATGTCCACTTTTTGATGTTTCTCCATCACTCTGCAACGATGAGATGTCTGTCCTTTACAGCCATCCTCACCCCTCCCCCTCCCATTTCCTCCCCCTCCCCTCACCTGTCCTGTAGTTCTCACCTTGGGAGATTGGTGTTGTGCAATTTGTGTATTTACGTGCATGGCTGTCATCTACGTCCTTCATTTGTCATTTCAGTGCTATATGGTTTTACAGAACGGTGTTCATAAAATAATATAGCTGTTTTGCATTATGTTTTCATCGTTGAATTTCACTTTGCATTATTGCACTGTCTTTGGATGTCACTTGTTTTGACTTTGGACCAGTGTGCACACACAAACACGCTTCAGCATGTACTCAGTGCCCCGTTATCGACTGCATAGAAGTGCACGGCAGCCAGATACTGACTTTGTGCTTAGATGCACTCTGCTGTTTCGGTGGTGTCCTTGGGCCCTGTGGCCACAGAGTCTTGGGGTCGCTGGCCAAGACCCCACTTTTTCTCCTAATGTCCCAATGAACATTTTCGTGCCAGATGGTGGCGCAGAGTTCAGCAGCAAAGAAGACATCCATGTTAAATAAGATTTGCTGTATATGTGGAGAGGATATCTCTGAGAGTTGTTGTCACTGTTGGCGTCAGTAGTCCCCAGGGGTGGAGGTGCAGCTGGTTGCAGTGACCTCAGGACCCCCCAGGCCCCTCACCATGACAGTGCCAGACACCCAGATGGGACAGACTGTCAGCCTGTCAGCTTCAGGGGCAGAGGAGGCTAATAGTTTGATCTGATCTCTTCTGATGGAATCTGTGTAGGGTGCCTCTTCTCTCACTTTGCCTCTGACTCCGTGCCTCTCTCCTCCTTTTCTCCCTAATTGAAAGTTTCCATTGGTGCCTTTGACAAAACAAAGTCCCGTTGGGGAAAGAGCGAGCGAGCGAGGGAGATTGAGAGAGGGAGACTAAAAATAACTCTTAAGTTGAAGCCCTCGCTGCCAAATCCCAGGGTTGGCTGCGGTCTGCATGAGATTTGAATATCATTTGTACCCTATGCCGAACCATAGGCACACCAGGGGAGGAAAAAGTAAACAAAACACGCAAACCTCTTGCACATAGCTAGGCCTTTCCGCTCATCACTAAGGTGACCACAGCAACTGTAGGTTTATTCTTTTGTTCCCGCCCCCACTGTGCTCTTACATGTGTACACTTTCACTAAAGACAGTGTGTGTCGGCACCCAGGGGGAGTTGGCCGTATCCCAGCTTGTAATATGCAGGTGCCTTTAGCCCTGCCTACTTTGACGCCAGAGACTGGGCCTAGCATTGGATGAAGGTCATAGGAATGTGAGATTGACTCCTGCAGTCTCTCCAACCGCACCGAGAGGGAAAACATGCAGAGGGAAGGAGAGGCCCAAGAAGAAGTGAAATTAAAAGCGGGATGCAGAGCACAGCTAGTATGTATATTATGTGGTGTTTTCATTAGGCTTCTTAGAAAGTACACAGCCTGAACCGCTGGGGTCACTTAAGTGCTGCAGTGAAAGTTGGAAAACCTGCTCTTTTCTATCCTCCCCCTCTCCCTCCCCTTCTCTCTTTCATCTCTCTCTCTCTCCCTCCCCCCTCTCTGGTTTCTCTCCTCTGTTGAATGACCTTGGGAGATCAGTGACTAGCACTTCCTGGAGTTGGCTTGAAGCAGAACCAAGGGCAAAGTTTACAGGGCCGTTGGGTCGGCTAGATCGGTCCGGCCATGCCAAAAGGATGTTACGCTGTAGGTCAAAGTGAGCATGTGTGTCATTAAAATCCTGTCTGTTCATATTTAATTGTACCACCATCTGTGAAACCACTGCGTGCATTTGAGTAGTTAATCTGTAATTCCTGGCTGCGAACTTCTTGTTTTTTGTTTTTTCCTGAGTAGATCATTTACCCTGTATGCTGTATCCTTGCCAGTTTATTTCTGACTGGTATTTGTGATCGGGTTCAGCACGGTTAGTGCTTTAATATTTGAGAATTTGTGCATACGCTCATTGGATTTATGACCATGATTTAACATCAGTGTTTGTTAGTGTGACGTTTCTTACTTAGGCTGTATTTGTTCCAACAGACTGAGTGCACTAAATCAGGATAAAGCTGTCTTATTAAACAGTCATCATTAAACATTGGTTAGATTCTCAAATGTCCAAATGATATATGGTTTATGTGAGCACTATACTGAGTTTTCTGCTTAGTGATCTAGTTGAAATCTAGCAGATTTCAACCTTAGGTGACCTTCCTCCAGAAATGCCCACTCTGCATCACTGACAGTTTTGGGACAAAGCAGATGTGGAAATTTAACTTCTTGCCCAAGACCTCTCAGTGGACCAGTGACTATCCAATAGCTGGTATTATATCTTCTTGGTGGTAACTAGTGTATGTGGGTATGTATTTACTCTTTGTCCAGGCTGACGTGTGAAAGTGTGAAGGGTACAATGCAGAAGGTTACTCTGAGGTTATAATACGCACAGAAACCGAAAGTAATCTATTTCTTCTGTCAACTCAGTTGTCTTTATATGTGCAAAGATATGATAACCTTGGGAATTGAAAGGAGAGTTGTAAAACAAGAAGTCACTCTTTAAAATTCACTCAGCTGCTGTAGTAGCTGTCATGCAGTTGTACACTAATCTGAAAAAATGGTGAGGTAGCGATAACTCTTTATATTCATATTTAATATTATTTTAAAAATGGTCAACCGGCTTTGAAGATTCAGTATAAGTATATAAAGTTTCAGTATATGATTCACTTTATCTTAGCTTTACATTTGCTTACACGTGACATGACAGAGAGATCTGAGATGAGCTGCCTGCTTCTTCATCATCCTCATCATGACGGTGATAGCGATACTGAAACACCTCCGTGAAAAGTTCACTCGGTAGCCTCAAGTAGGGCTTCAGGTCCTCCCACACTGCCTCGACTTGTTCACTTTCAAATATGCTCCTCAGAATTGGGCTCAGTTTACACAGATTGTCAGGTCATTAAGAGGGCAATTAAAAGCAGAACATTTCACTTTAACTAGAGGCCAGTTAATTAATTCCAACTCTGTTATCTCGCACATTGTCACTGTGCAGAAAGAAGCATGTTACTTCTTCTTCTTTTCTCTTTCACTTATCTTTAAAAAAACAAAAAACAAAAACGGATCAGCCAAGCGATACTATCTCCTTGTTTCCAGTTTGCTGCATTTCTGCCTGCCATCAAGCCGGGGTCCTATCGGGTTTATTTGGACAGGAATTGAAAGCTCATGTAAAGTGGTGTGATGTCAGAGTTCGAGCGAGACACCAGTGCTGCTGTGAATGGCCACTTAATGTGACGTGCCAGAAAGAGTGGGGAGGGAGGTGAGGATGAGATAGAGATGCAGGGCCCGGCTGGCAGAACAGCATTAGCGCTGATTCAGCTGCTGGAAGCCGAGCAGCGTTGACTTTCTCAAAGAGATCAGGTGAAAGTAAGACAAGACAGAAAATGCAAGAAAAGCATACTCGTGAGTGATAAAGGGAGAAGGGAAGCGCTAGGAGAAGAGACTGTAGAGCTGCTGAAGGAGGAAGAGCAAATTGCTGTGTTGGAACGAAGTCGACGAGGTCGAGACGTTTGTCCTCAAAGATGCACACATAGAAAAGAGCTGAAGGAAACCCAACACCAGCGATTCTGTCTCGATGACCTGATGAAGGACAACAGAGCTGCAGGGAAGAGGAGAAGAGAGAAGCACAGCAGAGAACAACACCATGTACCCTAATATAGCAACAGCAGCAGATTAGAACAACACAGCAGGAATGAGCTTGTCAAGTTCATTGCGTGATTCAACAGAATAATTTGGAATTTTTAGCAATAGCAAGTCTGCTTCAAAGCAAACACAAGCACAACATTCACAGAGACTTTATCTTGAGTGACTGATAACACTCTCCATAAGTAGTAAGAAGTGAACTGGACTAGCAAGAAAATTCTTTAGTAATAGTACAAGTTTCAATTTAAGTAGTGCTTTAAAGCTTACTGAACTGAAATATGGAAGTAAATGGTGCTTACCCCTTCAGATAAAATAAGCCGTCTTGACTTTGCATCAATCTCCAGACCTTTTTTGTGTGTTACAGTGTTGACATTTATTAGCTTTTGAGTAGATTCAGCATTTTTTTTCGTGCAGAGGGTAGCCCCATTCACTGTGTTTATTTGACAAGGGTAGGCCCAGACCATAGAAGGTGTTGCACAAAGTCAGCGGAATAGGCTCCCACACAAACTTTCCATTGATGCAAAGCATTGGGCAATTTGGTTATGCAGTTATATACTCAGTAGAATATGCTACCAAGCTGGAGGAGCAATGCTCAAGGGCATGTTGACACTTAGCCTTCTCTTCTCTCTCGCTTATATTGTTCTGTTGCTTTTTTCCTCTCTCACGCTTTAGCATGCCTCTCCTCACATATGCTTTCTCATTTCTTCTCACATAGCAACTTCCCCTGCACCTCCCCTCCCTCTTTTTGCCGCTGTGGTTAATGTAGTTGCTTATATTTACATTGAAGGTCACAGGGTCAGAAAGAGGTAGTTGGGGGTTTGTGTGTGGTTTGATATTAGCACACTCCTCTAACAGCTTTAGTTTATGAGAAGAGAGGTGTATAAGGGCGCAGGACGAGGAACTTGGCAGGTTTATGTGTTTTATAGTTGCCGTTTTATAACTGATAGGGCTTCTGTAATCTTAAGCCTAATTATTTGTTTCTCATCGTCCTATTCTGCCCTGGTTTGAACCACATAGTCTGACATACAATGCACATTCATTGATACCAAAGGTTGTCTTGTTTACAAGATGATGTGTTATGTGGATGATGCTTATTTTGTTCATCCCATCTTTGGGTTCATTTTGTTGCAAGGTACTTGGAGGCAGCAAAAGAACTGGCAGAGGTCAGTCCACCTGTCTTATGTGGGAAAAATGGAGGAATAAAAAAAAACTACAATTCCCATCAGTCATTCCTGCCCTGTGGGATGCTGGGATTGTTCTGGAGACTGCAGGTTTTCAATCAACCTTGAAATGCAACTGGACACTGGAGCGTCAGACAGGGAAGGAGAGACACTGTCAAGGTCAATCACTAGCCTGGCATGCCATAGCTACAAGCGGCCTGATTGATTTATATAAAGCCCCCTCTCCCCCCTCTCTCACCCGGCATTCTGTCTTATCGATTTAGGCTACTGTCTGTCGAAAACTGAACAACAGAACAGGATGCAGCAGTGGTTCTTCTATATTATTCTACTGATGCAACTTGCAGGAGAGTCAGTCTTTCCTGTCAAAAATCAATCAGGTAACGAGCCTGCATCCAGAATCAGTCGTTCATTGGTTTAAAATATTTATAACTGCACTTAAGCACTGAATTTAAAAGAGCTGATGTGGCCCCAAAGTCAAACAGTCCCTTACAACAAAGCTGTGACTGAACCTAGAGGGAGAGACACTGGATGGTGTTTTTGAAAGGCTGTTTCTTGTATTGTATTGGTCTGTCAGCTGAACCAGACATGGAACTATTCCTGCTTGTTGGCCCAGGGTGAGAAAAGAAAAAGATAGAAGCCCCCCCCCCCTTCATTCTTCTAACATTTTCTTTATAGTGACATATCTCCTTTTCTACCACTCTGTGTCTCCCTTTTTCTGTCTTGTTTGACCCACATTGCTGGTTTGCATAGCAGTGTTGCTGTGGCCCTGTCTGTCTCTTACTTCCCCTAAAGTATCTGTCTAAAGCCTTTGGCACTTTGTCTTAGCGCTGGATTAATGCTGAACTGGACAAGGCACTAGCCCTCCCACAGCAACACACACAAACACATCCGGTCTCTCTTGAGTAGCTTTACACACTCATCTCTTGTTCTGTCCCTTCACGTTTCTCAGTCTTCTCCCTCCTGCTCAATCTTTTCATCGAGGTACGGAGAAAATGGGGAGAGTGAGGAGGAACGATCAGGGCACTTGAAGGTCTACATGCTCAGACAGGCCGGCTAATATTCCTCCAGCAGATTCCTGGCATGCCATAGTAACCTGCTGGATCCTCTTTCAACCGTCGGATCCCCTGTAGGTGCTCTGGCTGTGTTAGCAGTAATTTATTTCAGTTTATTTGGATGGTTTGTATCTCTGCGTGTCTTCACAATTTGTCAGTTTACAATTAGGTTGTTTCTTTATGGCACACTCTTGCATCTGTTGCTTCAACACTGTTCACTTGCGGGCTCACCAAAAGCAGTTGACTTGCACATGATGTGCGTGTGTTTGTAGAGGAGCTGCAGCTATGTGCCAAAGGTGAGGGACCCATTCATAATCATGGAGTGCGCAGCCGGTCTATTGGTGGGTTCTTAGGCTTGTCAACATCCCACAAGGACAATAATAGAAGCCTGCCGGGGTTCTATTTTCAATTTCACTGTATTATAATTATAGACTTTGATAGGATATGTGGTTCTGACACACAGGAAGAGCTCTGTGCAGTAAGGCTTTGTTTTGAAATGGTATTACAATCTTGATCTGTCTCCGAATCTCCATATCGCTTGTTTTTTGCTTTGTAATGATCGATCATTTTCTTGTATCCATCTCATCTTCTTTCTCTTCTTCTCTTTGAGCAGATTAGAAGATGTCTGGAGATGGTTTTGGAGCCACAGGCAGCGATGCCCAGCAAACACTGCAGTCCTTCTGGCCTCGTGTCATGGAGGAGATCAGGAACTTGACTGTGGTACGTAACACTCATGCAAACAGACAAATAATACAGAAAAAAAGGAAAAAGTCGCAGTTTCAGCTTTAGTCTGTACTTAACTGCATCAATCTGTTGTCCTCAGAAGGATTTCCGTGTGCAGGAGTTGCCTTTAGCCCGGATCAAGAAAATCATGAAGTTGGATGAGGATGTGAAGGTAAGAGGAGAACCTGAATAATGAAACTGAGAGAGAGGGTGTGTATTAAAAAGAACTAGATATCTTTATTACTATGTCTTTCACGAAGGGTGTGCCATACTTGTTTTAAAGAACATGCTATCAAAAGCGGGAAACGTGTAGCTTAATCCTAGGCCCCCCAAATAAAAAAAAAAAGTATCTTGTGAGGTGATACTCCACTTCCCTGCAGATATATTTTCTCGTGGTGTTTTTGGACAGACGTGCAATAAAGAGCTCTGTCCAGCGTGTTGGGTCAAAACGTTCCATAGCTGGTGATTTGGGTTGTGTCTGGTAACTGTGAAGTTACATAACCACACGGTGACCTCTCGTGATCCATCTATATGGAAGAAACTACTTCAGTCCCCTGGGACAGGACAAATTATGGCAAAATGTAGTTCTGTTGTTTTCATTTAATTGGTTACCCGTTTGATATTTCTAGTTTAACTTTATTGTCTGACAAAAACGTATTGCCGTGTTGGAAATTGTTGATTCATTTGAAGCTTGGTTCTTATCAAGTTGTTGGTCTGTGGCTTTTTGTGCTCAGACCACCCAATAAATAAATGGACTCAAAGATGCAATTATTATTTCATAATTAAAGATAATTTTTCAATTAAAAAGTTGTATCAACTGTTTGCATTCAGCAGCCTCTGGTGATAGTAGCTCTTTTTTTTTGTATGAAATGGGTTTACTTTAAAACGTTATCGATGCATGAAGGAATAATTGGGCATCATTTTGTGACATTGCAAGACCTGCAGTGTAGCAAGTAGCTAGTTAATGTGATTTATGTAAAAAGCTGCTAATGCAGACATTTGTAGCAGTGAACTGCTTTTTGGTTTTAAGATTTCTCTTTTTCCACTTGTGGAATTTTTAAAATATAACCCACTTTGCTGGGAATTGCACTTCCTGTTAATGGCTAAAACGAACCAGAAGAATATCACAAGTTATTACAGATAAAAGCATTGATTTGGGCCATATTGTAATACCACTGCTACATTTGAAGATCTGCTCAGGTTAACGTGGCTTTTTTTTTTTTTGATGTGTCAGCAGGAACCACTCCACCAGGCAGTTATGAGTCATGGAGGAGTGATTTTTTTTCCCCCCCCCATTACACCTGATTGTCAGCCAGAATTGTTCATAGCCTCTAAAAAGAAAGCCTCTGCTCTGAGTTTGCGTGTGGCTTGAGTATGTCGTGTCAAGAATGCTATCCCCTTAGTTAAGCAGCAGCTTACAGCGGTAAAGAGATCAGGAGATCACTAACATATCTGAAGGAAAGACCCTTCTGTTAGTCCTGACACAGCACCTTGCACAGATGCAGTGCAAGCATGTGTGAGTGTTATAGCGTCAGTACAACTGTTCATTTAAGCATTGCTTTTATGAACATATAACAAATACATTTTTATGGGAATTGATTTTAGAGTTCAGTGCTTATGAGTAGAAAGAAATAGATTAAAAGTACCCACTCAACTCTGCGTAAGCATCTATGCTAGTAACTACGCAGTCTTTATTTAACAAGTGAATGTATCTGTTGGTTATTTTTGCAGCAGCTTTGACTTTGAAGTGGCCGGCTGTGACTGAGGTCCTGAGCGATTCGTGTAATTGCTGATGTTTGATTGATGGACTGTGGGTGTGTTTAACCAGGTGTAAAACTATCTCTACTGTACAGATGATCAGCGCAGAAGCTCCGGTCCTGTTTGCCAAAGCAGCTCAGATCTTCATCACAGAGCTCACCCTCAGGGCGTGGATCCACACTGAGGACAACAAGCGACGCACACTACAGGTTATAGACATTTCTTTTTCTTTATATTTAAACTCCTCCATATGACACGTTTTTTTGTAATCCTTAGCAAATACTACTTTAAGTGGATTGGACCTCCCGATACACACACACAGCCCCAGTTGTAATTCCCACACTCTGACATCAATTGGCTATCTTTTTGGTTTCGTGCTTCTTATGCACTAAGTGCCAGTGTCAGTGTGCATGTACAAGCAGAGACCCTATACCAGCATCCCCTTGAGGACTGTCTCTCTGTTAAGTTCCTTCTCCCTCCATTCACTTTAAAAGCAAATCCAGGCGGGTGCCGGTGACCCACTTTTCCCCTGGTGCCATTTAGCATCCTCTGCTGTACCAGAGCTGAATAAAGGTGAGGCCTGGAAAGATACGGATGAAAAAGGAATCAGAGAACATGAAAGCACTGACGGAAGCGGTTGAGAAGAATCAGTCTGGAGTATGTCTCACCTGCATGTCAAGTAGAGAAAAACTGTGGAGCAGAACATGAAAGCCCTTAAGTCCACTTTATCCATTCACATACCTCTGAGAGATTAGCAGTCCATGGATATGTTTGTGTATGCCAACGCAGGTAGAAAGAGGAGAAAATCTATCTTATCACAGTTTGTCTTGTGCTGAAGGCCTGCTTTGGAAGTACATTCATTTTGCTGTTAATATAGCTCTGTCCCAAATGGTAGTTCTATTTTTTTTATTGGTCAAGAAACTGTGTTTTAGAGCTCTGCAGTGCACACTTTAAAATAGAAACTTCATCTACTGTGACTGTGCACACGTTAATTGCCTTGTACACTACAGATGACGCATTAGTTGCATGTGATGCTTCACTTCATGAATACAGGATTTTTTTTTCATTTCCCTAAGTGAGGGAAAGTGGTGCCCTCTATTTCCACACGCATACACATGTAGAGCCTGATCCTTTTGTGAAGAGGGCACGCCAATTGGGGTCACCATAGCAACGCTCATCAATAGAACAAGTGTGGATGTGACCTGATGTTACCAGATATTAATCAAGGTACTAAATATAGCCTCTAGTGAAGGGGAGGGTCACAATGGAGGGGGGTGGGGGGTCCTGACAGCCAATATCCTGTGGAAAATTCCACAGAGACAGCACACTGGTGTGGATATAGGAAGGGGTATAGAAGCAGAGCATGTGCTCATGAGGGCAGGAAAATGTCATTCCTGTTCATTTACACTTATCTCACACACACACACACGTGTGTTTCTCACTGTGGTCCTCTGGTGGTGGGTTTATTATTCCGTTTGCCTTTAGTAATGTTTTGTTTGGAGACAGCGTTACTTGAATCGCATAATTAATCATCAATCTGATCTGCTAGAAGTCAAAACTTGTGTAGAACAAAGACGTGTATGGGTAAATCAGCATGTTTTGGCTTGGGTGCTCTAGAGGTCGATTTGCATGTGGATGAATGTGTTACGGTGTTTTTGGTTCCCTGCTTAATACCTTTTATATGATAACCCTCATGAAGATGTGTTGGTCTAGCAACACAGTCCTTACTGCATGTGTTGCTAGAGTTTTGAGCTGACTTACTGATTAAGCTCTAAACGTATCCTTTAAATTCAAATATTAAAGCAAACACCCATCTAAGTACTACTAGGAACTGTATACAAATCTCCCTTGTCTGGTTGTTTTGGGAGTGATGACCTCAGACCTAGAGGCATGTTTATAAATAGGTGGCTGCGCATATAGAATTGGCATAATTAAGCTCTGACCTCTTTGCTTGACTTTCTTTTTATATTTTATATTCACAGAGGAATGACATTGCCATGGCAATAACAAAGTTTGACCAGTTTGACTTCCTGATTGACATCGTGCCCCGGGACGACCTGAAGCCTCCCAAACGACAGGTAGGAAAGCGGCCTCATTATAGTATTTATTACCTACACTGTGACAGGGAAACAGCTGGTATCTCATTAAAGTTACCACAGGATAAAGAGCTGATGATTTGGGTATTCATCTCAGGTACTTTCCATTGTTGGCAACCTGGAGGTGCTGTAAACATCCTTGACTGGAAGCTGAGGTTTTGACAGCGAGGGCTTTCAGTCGGATGTTTGCAGCGTCTTATTGCCTCAGACCGCCAACAGTAACCTCAGTGATTAAACTAGTTTGTGGAAGCGGGTACCATACAGTGTCTGCTATAATAAAGTATTAAAACCATGGCTCCGGTCAGGACATAACTCAGTGAAGATGCTGAAAGAAAACTGCTTAAAATGTTATGGCAGGCGATTAATGGCCAATATCAGTTACATTCAATTGATGTATAAGGAACTTTCAAAGATGGAGGAGTGAGATATTTAAATTTGCTGTCACGTAGACTGTCTCCAGACATGTAAACATCCTACACTCTCAGCTGTGTTGTCATGGAGCTGGGAGAGGGGTGTTTACGCTTCTGGTGATGGAGAAACCTCATCGAGACGAAGCCTGCTCATTAGTGAATTACAAAACAAAATGATATGGGTCGGTGTTTATGGACAGTTTATTGGGTTTTAAGTTTAACACCTGTATACCAGCTCAGCATTTAAGGTGCTGAACTGCCCTGATTTATCCGACAACCCTGATGTTACATTTCTGTTGCTGGACCAGGGAAAGCATGCCAGCGGTTATCACGTTATTAAGTTTCATTCGATTTGTAAGTTACCCCTTTAGCATTACAGGTTGTAATACTGAAATTTTAAGGCTGATTAGCACCAACACATCACCTCAGCATACCTCCGGACTTGCATTGCATGTTATCAACCAGTATGGATGGATCTTGTACCCAGATTACGTTACTCTTCCCCAGTCACATCCCATCAGTTATTTATCAGACTCTGTCTACCGTTACACCGGTAAAAATAATTCATGGAGATGCAACGGACTGATAGGCGTCCAATGTGTGTATGTTTCTCAGGAGGAGATGCGTCAGTCTGTAGCTCCAGCAGAGCCAGTGCAGTACTACTTCACCTTGGCCCAGCAGCCCGGAGCCGTGCAGGTGCAGGGCGCACAGCAGGGCCAGCAACCTGCTGCGCAGACAGCGGCGACCATCCAGCCCGGACAGATCATCATCGCACAGCCGCAACAGGGACAGGTATGGTTAGCAATGTGCTTTGTAGTGCACATCGCAAGAAAACACTCAGAGTGAAACCAACTGCAAAAACAAATTCTGCAAATTCCCCGTTAGACTCATGTATGGTACTTTAGAGGGAAAAAAATTGGTTTCATTGTGTGTTGAAGTAACACCTGAAAGATGACCTCTTTCTAGAAGTCCTCTTCCTAGAAGTCCTAGGAGTCTCATATTTCTTGGATTGACTCACTTGATTTATTGATATTATTCGTAGCTAACATGTAGGAGCTGACCACTCTCCTGCCAGCAGGATTAATAGGACATCGAAACACACCCAGCAAATCCAGCTTTACACATATATGGACACCTTGCACACAGGGAACAGAACGTTCACTGATCTCTTATTTACTCTTAACTTTAAATACGTCTTATTAAGTAATTTACACAGTTACTGTAATATTGAGTCCAAAATAGAGGCGTTGTATAGCAGCATTTCATATTAGTGAGAGAGGGGTATATGCTGCCCTAGAAACTTGTCCTCAACTTCATAAATACTTCCTGTTTGAGCTAAAAGACAGGAGAAACTGTGAATCAATAACCTCTTAATGGAACAACATCCCCATTTATATACAAACAAATACACACGCTCAGAGTCCTAGGATGAGGTTTTTCTCCTGAGGGTTCTGCATTTTCACCACCCATCGAGATAACAAGCACACATATGTAGGGGCACCATTCAGTTCATCTCTCTAATTATTTCATTCCTGCTACTTTTTCTGCTGAGCACTCCTCCTCTCCGGTTTGCGCTCTGCATGTCATGTAGCCTTGCTGCTGGGCTGGTGTGATGCTTCATGCTGCTTCAGCACACTGCCTGTAGCTGAGCTGTCATACTTGTTTAGACCTGGTGTGATTCACACTCCTGCTCCTGCTGCAGTCCCAAGTCACACTTTGACACTAACCTTATGTAAACTCAATCTTTGACTGTTTACAAGGTGGCACTTTAAAAAGGTGGGATTTTAACTCCGTTTTAAATTTAAAATCTGTGAAATTTTGAAGCTTTGCAACATTTCTCTGATTGTTTTTATCTACTTGGTAATGTCAGGACTAAAGGTTACGTAGTTGTCTATTCAAATGACATAATTCCCATGTTAAAGACGGAGCTGATTGGATTACTTCTAACTCATCAGACAGATGTCATGTTTGGTACAACAGATTTGGAGTGCGCATTAAGGTGTTAGCAGTAGTCCTGCAGGATGAAGAAGTATAAGTCAGTGCAGAGATTAAAATGAGGCGAGTTCCCATTTCACATCCTTTATTTTTGCGTCTGTGTGTGGCGCTTTCAGCGTCACTAACTGTCAGTGCTGTACCGATTCTGTCACTTTTCTCTCAGGACAACAACCCTCAACAACTTAAAATCTGCAGTTGGCCTTTGTTGAGCTTCTGTAAATGCAACTGTGATGTATTTTATACATTTTTAACAACCTGTTCAGTTACCACCATGTTTTCTTTTTGTGTGTTTTTTTTTTTAACAATTTGATTTTTATCATTTCACATCATCCTTTTTATCAACCTCCTCCCGTTTTACTTGCATATTTCATAAACATGCTCGTAAATGTCATCAACTGCCTATATGCCACTGTTTGCTGCTCCTACATTTCAATCTTTCTCTGCATACATGCCAGTTCTGCTTACGTTTTTGTGTTGAGTTTGTGCACTCGCTGCTTTCTCACTATGTGTCTTTCTCTCATTTTCCCATTTCTTTTCTGTCGGCCATCAGATGTTGCAAGGTGCCACCATGCAGCAGTTACAGCAGGTGCAGGTGCAATCACAGGGCACGCCCATCACGGTAAACACACATGCTTTCATATGTTTGCTAACCACACACAGAGAAAGAGGCCACTGCTTTGTGCCACAGCCTCTTAGGTGATGGCCGCCTACAAACTCTGTCCTGCTCAGGTGACTGAGGTCTTTAGGGGTGATTGTCACATGATCCTAACAAACACCACCTGATCTCACTCTGCAGACAGAACAGAGAGAGAGGACGTGAAACCTGCGTTTTCACGTTATGTCCCTGAATCTTATTGTGCCTGCTTAATAAGCTACTCGCAGACTTAAAATTTAAGGATACCTAGGTTTCCAACTCCTGGTTTAAGATTGATTGTACTCCAGAAAAGTTAATGATTTACTGCTTCCTTGCTTAACTACATGCTTCTGCTACGTAAACAACCGGTTGCGTCTGTTTGTTTATCTGCGTTTTTCTTCTCTTTTCTGCTCTTGTCTGCATTAGAGTGCGCCTGTCGCCATGCAGGTGGGTGAAGGCCAGCAGGTGCAGATTGTCCAGGCTGCCACAGCCCAGGGTCAGGCTCAGACAGCTCAAGCCCAAGGCCAGACCATGCAGGTCATGCAGCAGATCATCACCAACACTGGAGAGATCCAGCAAATCCCAGTAAGAAATGACAGGATGGAAAAGGAAATTATCAGTTTTGGGTTTTTTTTTAAGAGAGATGATGGACAGTGCTATGTGTTTGCTGCATGATGTTGTTTGATATTGTGGTGCAAGACAAACATGTGAATTTGACATTCATCAGTATTTGATGGGAGCTGTTAAGTTCGAAAAGGTTAAAAATTCACTAGAGGAACGTTAAGGTTTCTCATTCCTGTAGTCCAGAGCAGGAAAATGGCTGTGACCTCTCTGCTCAAATGACCTTTTCTCTAAACCAAACTTTGTCTCCCCCTTGTGTCGGTTGGCTGTAGGTACAACTAAATACGGGACAGCTGCAATACATCCGCCTAGCCCAGCCCGTCTCTGGAGCACAAGTGGTCCAGGGGCAGATTCAGACTCTTGCAAACACCCAGCAGGTAACCCTACAACAGCAAGAAATCCAGCTGATGTCCAAGCACTTAGCTGTAATAAACTATGACTGGATGTGTTTACACTTGTCAGTTATGGTATGAAGCTGCTTGTGAATCCCAGTGAGTGAATAACTTGCTCTCTCTTTAGATCACACAGACAGAAGTACAACAAGGACAGCAGCAATTCGGCCAGTTTACTGATGGCCAGGTAACACATGCAACAAATAAATACAATTTTGAAATTTTAGTGTTTTATTTGTTTTCAGGTGACAAATGGCACATTGTTCTTATTTACGCTTTTCTATCTTTCTTGGATTGTCTCATTTTAACTACTTAAACAACTGGCTGATAACCAGTGGACATTTGCACTTCTAAATCCTGTTAATTCAAACAGTAGAGGGAATTGTTATCAGAAGATCATAAATTAAATGTCTTATTGAGCATTTTTAATGTCATCTTGTAACAATGAAAGGTGTGTAATCCACTAAGATCTAATAAAAAAAGCCCACAGAAAACTGAACACACACAACCTTAAACCTCGCCATCTTTCCTCCTTTTTCTCAGCAATTGTATCAGATACAGCAGGTGACAATGCCAGCAGGACAGGAGCTGACCCAGCCAATGTTCATCCAGTCTACCAACCAGACAACTGACACACAGGTCACGCAGGTCAGCACTGAATGAGCCCTGCCAGGAGACTTTCTCCTCTCACACATACAGCACGCACACCAGCCCGCGCGATGCAGACGGATGCCATCAACTTTGACAAAAAGGACTCTCAATAATTCATTTTAAGCACGGCTCATTGCAACGAGGGACCTGAAATCTTGTAACACTCATGTTTTGTAATAAATTTACTACACTGGATCAAAAACCAAAGGGACGCTGATTGACTCTTTCACAATCATACGTTATAATCATCCAATCTTAGACATAGTGTACCTTTTTGTACTTGTGTCACCCTTATTGAATGGATGACTTTACGTTGTGCATCCACTTCCACAGTCCCTGACAACAGTCTTTGCACAGACTAAATTTATTCTTCTTCCCGTCATTTCCAACCTTTTACAGATTTTTAGACTATAAAGTGTCGATCCCCCCCCACCCCCCGACACCTTGCTCTTCATTTGGAAATGAATTTGGAAAATGTCCATCCTTGTCTACAGAAGCTGCTCTAGGTTTAGGGTAGCCATGGGAAGGTTTTTTTTTTTTTTATTATTATTTTAAAAAAAACCCTACCTTACTCATTGTTTGTCATGTAGTTGGATAAAACTAAACCATATACCTCAGATATCACTTTATACACCAAGTCAATCTAAGGGATAGTGAAGAGGTTGAGGTTTAAGGATGTTTTCATGTAGTTTGTTGTGTTTTCCATAATGATGATGACGCATGACTTTAGGTTGTAAGGGCTTCAAACTGTACAGGCTATTTGTGAATGTGATGAAAGGCGTTATGTGTTTGCGATGGAAGCACACGCACATTCATCTTTACTCCTCTGATTACCCCCCCCCCCCCCAAAATCCCTTTGTCCTTAGAGTGGGGAAACTTTTTTTCTGCCTCGGTTTGGGTGGTTTTTGAGTCCCGAGTCTTGTGCCCCGATTTAAGTCTCATGTGCAAACACATGACTCTGTCTGGAGGGGAAAAGCACCCTTTTTATAGAACTCTCTCTCTCTCTCTCTCTCTCTCTCTTTTTTTTTTCTCAATGAGTGTTTTTCTTTTGGCTTAAAATGATGTTTGGCCCGATATATTGCCCATTATTTTTTTTATTTTTTTTGTACAGTAATGAGTATTATCAATGTTATTATTATTGTTGTTTTTGCATGTAGTTAAAACTGCCAGCATGACATGCAATAGATAGGTACAATTTTATTTTTGATGTTCCTGTTTTTTTTTGTAAACAAACTTTGTGACGAAAAAATAAATAAAAGCCATACCTTCTCAACTTGGTCTGTTTGGTTATCTTTGAGTTTGTGTTATTAAGAGCTAATCTGCGTCTCCATTGTTTATTGTTTTAGGGCAGTTAAGCACCTTGCTAGTATACAGGGAGACAGGAGAGAAAGTCACCAGGACCACGAGATAGGACTGAACCAACCTAGGCATCACCATATGCTATATTTACAGGTAGACACGTCCCACCACAACAGGTCTTTGCCATATAGTGCTGTTTGGCAGGAAAATGGGTCCAGTGATTTACAAAATACAATACACCATATATGATTGGAAATACAGTATATAAGACAAAAACAATTTGTACAATTCTAATCAGCTTCGAATGGCAATATCTCTTTCTTGTCTTTAGTATAAGTCGTTATCAGGAATAGTTCTCCAGCACATTCAAAGCTCGGATGTTGGCTGCCTTTTATTCTGCTTTCTGTCAAGATTTTTCTGCACTGCTTTAGTAGTTTGAGGTCGGGCTCTGAGGAGGCCAATCCATGACTGATGGTATTCCAGAGTTTGTGTTTCTATCACAGTGTGCTTTTACTGAATTGGCAGGGTGTTAACAATCAGATGTTTTCTTGTTGGTATTACGTGGTGGATCAAAATCCTTTTGTGTCTGTAATTTCATCAATTTTGACAAGATCCCCAATACCTTTAGCTGATATGCAACCCCAAACCACGACAGTCTCCATCATGTTTTACAGATGGCTGTAGACGCTCACTGCTGACCTCCTCTGTACACATTGATAACGATTTGAACCAAAAATGTCAAATTTGGATTCTTCACTCCTTTAGACCTGTTGCCACTGATTTTTATTTCAGTTCTTGTGTAACTTGGCACACCTCAGTCTTTTCTGCCTGTTTCCCTTCTTTAAGAATGACTTCTTGGCAGCCACCCTTCCAGAGACCATTTCTGAAGATGCTTCAGTGAAGAGTAGATGGATGACTTTCAGATTCTGCTCATCTGCTGTAGGTAGTTTTTCAGGCCTGATCCTTGTTCTTTTTCGATCCACTTGTTTCATCTGTTTTATTTTTAAGGAAACACTCCATACTACACCGAGATATCTCACGTTTTCAGCTAATATCTCTGGCAGTCACCTTGTTTGTGCGACAATATTGTATTATAGGTCAAATTGGGTCATCTGTGTCTCTTTTCATAAGTTCATCTTAAGAAATTGGAATAAATTATGTGCCTTTTGTGACAGCCTGCTGGTAACAAAGTGACTAAAGATATAATTTAAACTTCTTTTTTTTTATATACTTAATGATTCATGGTCAGCAGTAGGTAGTTTAAGAAACAAAAAGGCATTCTTCTGAAAATGAGTGATAAAGGCAGGCTTCAGGTAGCCTGACGAGCTGGGGTGGCTGTAACTCAGGAGGCAGAGCAGGTCATCTACTAATTGGAAGGTTGGTGGTTTGAGTCCTGGGCTGCTCCACTCTATGTGCCAAATATCCTTTGGCAACATAGTAACCCAAAGTTGCTCTCCAGTGCATTCATCAGAGTGTGAATGTTAGATAGTAAGCAATTATGCATAGAAAAAAAAGTGCTTGTATGAATGGGTGAATAAGGCAAATTGTATATAGCGCTTTGAGTGCTCAGGTAGACAGAATAGAAAAGAACAATCCAATTAACATTTACAAGTTTAAAAAGACAAAAACTCAGGTCAAACAATCATGTGCTTACTATGTCAGATTGAAACCTGTTGTTGTTTTCCCAAATGGCCATAGGAGGGCAGCACTGATCTAACACATTTTAAACACTACTGATATACTGTAATTGGGCACCTGATTCATGTCCAAACAGAGGTTCATTATTTTTCAGTAAGAGCAGACATTTAGCAACAAATCTATCTTTAACGTGCTCTCACGACCGCACCATCAGTATCTATCCACGCTGCTCCCAAACAAGACTATGTGAGCAGTGCTGCTGTCCTGGAAAAGCTTTGTGTGCCACAAAGGGTCAGCGGTTAACAATAGAGTCACGAGTTATTTGGCTAGAGGCCGCTCAGCTCCTGCGAGATCAGACTGCATTCCTTCTCCAACCTAAGTACTTGGTCATATGGGGTCACATGGGGGTCATTTGATTATTTGGGTTTCCTCCTGTATGCTGTAGGTCTTTACCTTTTAGTATAAAACACCTTGAGGTGACTGTTGTTGTGATTTGGCACTATATAAATAAACAGGAATTGAATTAAATTTTAAAAGGCAAGGAGAAATAATTACAGTGGAAGAGAAAATACTATTACTAATAATAATACTAATAGTGAATATAAAATGTCATATTTAACTCTATCTTAGAGCTGAATGTCAAAGTTCAAAAGTGGAAGTACTTTGTAATGCTGGTCAATCAAATTGTGTTTTTAAAAAATTGCACTTATGTATATCACTCACTCTGCAATTCCCTGCTTGAGCCATGGTAGTCGGAGGCACAAGTAAACATTACTCTGACCGGGGGGTCCTTTCTTAATCGACTTAATCAGTGAACAATAACTGCATTAATGAATGCAGACTCATGCTCGGCTCTTTCTAATGAGAGGAACGAGGATTGTGAGAACGTTTGAGCTTAAGTTGAGCGTGAAAAGGATTGTCTGGTGGTATTTTTCTTGGCTGCCCCGTCTGGTCAGATCAAAGATCAGCTTTGGGCCGTATGAACTCGAGCTCACTGCTCTGGCTGTGGTCTGGACCTTGTGATTTGGCCACAGCACCAAATGCCCTCACCAACTTTGTGACAAACCCGCGTTAAGAGTTCGGCTGGAGGCTAAGCATCATCTTTCACTCGGCTTTAGTGTTTGATCTTCTTTTCTCTCCTCCTTAGGTGTCAGGATGTTTTCCTTTAATCATTGTCAGGCTTCAGTGTGAGCTCTTCCCAGGTCTTGGCGTGTCAGCGTTGTATAAGAATAATGTGACAGTTCAATGATCCATGTAGAGTAATTTTCGTATTGCTTATGTCTGTTCATAATAAGCTTATACTGTAGGGTTAAGCAGCTGAGCTATTCTGCGCATTAACACTCAGGAAAGTTGCATCAAAGAGCCTGAACGTTGTGAGCACTGAGGCAGAGATACGTGATCAGTTTGTTTGTATGCATCATGGTGCAAAAGCTGCCATCAGGGGCAAAGAAAGAATTAGTTTAATTCTGGTGCTAACCCACGTCACTTCTGAAAATTTGAGGCAGTAAACCTCGACAAAGGCTTTGTGCTTGCAGAAGATCTTCTAAGTTATGAAGGTATAAAATAATTCCCATCTCAATTAAGAAATTTATTTAATTTCAACTATGTACCTGGGATCTAATGTATTCTCTTCTATCAGTTAATATTTATTCAGCAAAAAAACCCAACTTTAATCTGTAGTTTCCTGAATGAAGCTGGTTACAGGGTACAACTGTTCCCGATTCACTTCTGGTTGAATCAGGAATGTTGCAGGAATGTTCATGACCCTCTCTTCACGTGAGACTCCCTGGATCTTTTAATTGGAGCGTATTATGTCCTTTTTCAGCTCCACATTTTTATTTTTATTTTTAACTCTACAACAGTAGATTAGTATGATTCACAGTTTTAAAAAGTCCCTATTGGCACATGCAAAATCAGAAGCTTAAAAAAAAAGCTCATACTCTACGGATTTTTATCAAAAATACAAAAAAAGTAAATAATAATTAAAATATGATTAAAGGTGAAAGATTGTAAGTCTTGTTTATCTTTTAAAGAAAAATATTATTCCAACTTCTCACTATGACCCACAGCTGGAGAAACAGTTTTCTCTCTTTCTTTTGATTGGCTGCCCCTCACACACAGGTTTGAGCAGCAGGTGGGCGGGGCTGCTCACAGTCAGGCTGAGATGATTATATTTGTTCTGCAGCGTCTATCATATTTGAGTTTTTGAGACCTCTACGTCACCATTGTGATCCCCCCCCGATAAACGTGATCCATACGATCTGACAGTTGCACTGCTACTCTGACTGAAACTACACAAATATGTTAAATGTAGCAAAAATTATACAACTTCAAACTCATATTGGTGTTTATAATAAAGGACCGATCTCTCCATTAAGCCCTTAACTGTTTGTTGCATAAAACGAGGCAGTATGTGTTCTCATTATTTTTAGAAATCAGACAGTGTTAACATTTGTGTTACTTTGTGTGTGTGTGTGTGTGTGTGTGTGTGTAGTCGTTTTTCTTTTTTAGCTCGGGGATTTATGGTTCAGGATTGTTTTTGACTGATGGAAGTGAGGTAGTGTCTACTGTGTGCCCCCCTCTACCCCCTGTGAGTGTTAGTAAAACGCTGCAGGGTCCTTTGAGGAGCCTGCTCACTCACCTCTATAGTGGCACTAAAAGTTGCAGTAAGTTACAAAGGAGCTTTTGACTGGTTATGAATGGACCACTGAGTGACGTCTCTACCCACCATGCTGTCATTTCCCGACTTAGTCACGAAGTGTTGTGGTTGACACTTTGGCATATTCATACAGTTGAATGGCGAGCTGTTACATTGATTGGAACGGGGAAATCCGCCTGCTGGTCTTTTTTCAGTGTCTACGTGATGGTTGGAGTGTGCACTCACCGGGGGTTCTTGCTTCAAGCACAGCGCTGTTTGACAATGTCATTTCAACTCTCCGAAGACTATAACCAGACTTATCACAACAACATTAACCCAGCACAACAGACGCTATATCAACAATTCGACTGCCCTGTCCCTATTCCTCCTCTTTCCCTTGTCCTCTGAGGTCTTCCCTTTAAGAAGGGATCTGTGTTAAAGAGGAGACGATACATGAAAAGCAGCACAGAAATGAGATTAAATAAAGACAAACAAGCGTGCTGTCTGGGAAAGCCATTAAGTGGTGTAAATAAACGTCGGCAGTGGAAATAAAAGGTTGATGGGGGTCGAGCGGAGCAAGTTTGCGCTGTACTATGTGTGCCGCGCATTTGCTGATGCGAGTATTTTTACGTTCCCATAGATTCCCTGAGTGACTGTCGCTCCATGGAGCTCAGTGGGCTCTGTGGAGCGTGAGTGTATGCTTGGAGGGGTGGAAGTGTGGTGGAAAAACAGCATAAAGGGCAGAAGCCTCTTAACATTGAGGCCCCTGTAGTCCACTCTGGGTCATCTCCAAGGGTAATTCCAGCTTCACACCAGAGTTGTTTATGAGTGCCACCAAATCTGTGTATATGAGTGCGAGAGCTCTTCGTCGTGGTCAGGTTTATACATTTGTGCCATCGACCACCCGCTGTCCTCGCTCAGCTGTTGTTTGTTGTCATGGGGCCGCCTTCAGCTTAGAGGCCACTGCCCGGCTCTTAGTGTTGATTACTAGATGAAAGCAACGTTGAAGAAGGGTACTGTAATAGAAAGAGACGAGGGTGGGAGTAGCTTTGCCACAGCGAAACTTTGATTTTTAATCCCTGAGGGTACAAGTAAAGCTGACATGTCTGTCAACAGCTTTTTCTTAGGTTGCTGCCGGTCCTCATTAGGACTGCTGAGGGGAGGAGAGGAGACCGGACTAAAAGAGAGAGGGTTGTAGTGTAGGGGGGATTCCTCCTACAGGATGTCATTGTGGGGTGGGAGCGTTAGGATCCACAATACCCTACCCAATACCCTGTTATGTAACCATCTTCCCCCACTGATTGTCCTTTATCTTTCTGTCAGTCTCACCTTCCAAGTCAGAAATAGATATCGTACATTTGCCTGTTTTTAAAAGCCCTGGGCTGTAACTTTGCACCCTAAATGTTATCCCTAAATTAACTTGCATAGTTTTGACTAGTTTGCATGCCTCTCCGATGATTGTAATTCAAAATAAAACCCGGCCTTACCCTGTCTCATAAACACTGTGATTTCTAACAATCAGTATGTCTTTAAATCAGATATTTGTAAAACTTCCAATCCGAACTTTGTCAAACTTCGTTTTAGTAAGCCAAAAGGATTCATTCCAATTGTTGCTGCAGTTATAAAAGCACTGCAATCTTCAACTGGTTCAAGCAATCAGCTTTTCTATGTGGAAATGCTGACCGCCATGTTAATTTTCCACTCTTTTATGTCACCTTGACTTGTGACATTCCACTTCCCCTGCAGGCATCAATAACGTTTAGCAATTAATAACCAGGTTAAATATTGCAGCCCAAAGGTTTGTTTAAATGCCAACACTAAAGCAAACTAACAAACAATACTAAATAATTGATTGAACCTTAAAAGCAGAACATCCATTGGGAAGAGTTCACCAGTCATCGCTGTAAAGATCAGCTGTCAGCTGGTCTCTATATGAGAAGCTAGTAAAGAGTTAAGGATTATGTGATATTATGTTATGTAATGGGAGCGAGCCCAGGGAATAATGTTGAGATTTGTGACTTGTGAAAGACTGCAGCTGCATTCCCACGTTTCATGCCACCGACCTGCATGTTCCATAAACTGCTGCACGACAATTGACAGGAATGCACATAGCTAGCATGAGTAACCTGCCTCTGCTATTGTTGTAGGACAACGTAAAACTTACACCATGCTGAATGTATGTTTAGGGCAGGCTGTCAGTTTCTGTTGTTGAGAGTGCGGTTTGCTTTTATTCAAGATGAATGATTATATACTTCACTCGCATTCAACAGCAGAGGACAGAAGTAGATGTCAGAGGTGGAAGTGATGAGGTAGTGGACGGAAGAAACAGAAAGCAGGTTTGTTGTTCTTCTTTTTCCTTGTGAACATTTGACCCGGTGCTTGTTTAGGTTTAAAGAAAAAACACATCATTGTGAATTATATCATTATTCCCTGATGTCATTTTTTTGGGCGCCAGATGATACAGTTAGGCCAGCAGGAGTTTGGGGACTACCTCACATTGCATTCTTCAGTTCCTCCAACAGGTGATGTCTCTACAGGGCACAGTCTCCATAACCCTATATTTGTGTCATAACCACAAGCCCTTCTGTGTGTCACAGTCATAGATTTAGAATGCTGTGTCCATGGAGGGGTAGCGGTCTGTGGTGATCAGTGTTGCTGTGTCGCAGAGCACCTGTCTCTGCTGTCCAAAACTCCTGTAGCCATGGATTTAAACCTCCTCCCACAATAAACACAAGTGGCATTTTCACTTCAAGGAAAGTCAAATTAAACTTCTGTTGTTTGAACACTTTATGATTGGAAAGCAACAACGTAATAAAAATGTGTGCAGGAGGGGAGATTAGTTTTTGCTGGGAGTGTAATGCTTGATCAAAGTTTTGGTAATTGTCAGGGGTGGAAGCAAATGTTTTTTTGGGTGAAAAGGTCAAATTTACATGAACATGGATGTAAATAATGCACACTCAGGTCTAAAAACCAACTAATTCTGGGTGAAATGTTGAGTAAACAAGTTCCAAAAGAAGAAAAAAGTATAAATATAATACTTTTTAAAATTATATGGAATTGTGACTTGCACTGATCATATAGTTTACCGTATATACATGCATTAAATATAGGTATATTTAATAAGAAAAAAGAAAAAATGAAGTTGAGATCTGTGAGAAAACGAGGAAACAGATGATTACACACTGGTTAAAATAGTGACAGGATGACCATGGACACTGAAGTCCGAAAAAATTAGTCATGCCCTTACCAAAACGACCTCTTTACTGATAATAATGATAATATCGTGTCGTGATCATTGTGATGACTTCAGAGTGTAGAGAGAGGTAGAGCGCAATGATGATGACAGGGAAGAATTATAAATACATATATATAGTAGACATAGAGGTGAGTGGGGGGAAAAAGCTAAAAGTGATGTGTGAATTAGAATAAAACAAATAATAATAAAACACACTGCTGGACATTTTTGTAAAACAAACAACAAACATTTGAAAAATAATTTGAATACCTTGTAAATTTAAAAGGTATTCAAATTCTGTTCTAATATATTAATATATTAGAACGTACACAAAAAGACCCTAGACAACTTACACTTCATCCCCAGATTGACTGATCACCCCCACCCTAGACTCCATGTATATTTTTTGGAAGCCTCACAGATGGTGTCCCGTTCACTACTTGCAAACTGTTAGCAGCATGTATCATTCACCAGCTAACTTTGCTGCTCTGTCAGAGATCGCTCACGGTTCCCGGAAAGCGTCATTAAAAAACAAAACAGAAAAAGTGCGCCTCTAGTCGCTGAGAGCATCCCACGCTCGTACCCATCTCGTGCGCAGAGTCCTACCCGATAGCGTTTCTGTTTGTGCACATCAACTCAGCGGAGAGCAGGCTTCTCACCTTCGTGCGCGTTTCCAAATCAACTGCAGATATTTGGTCTTTTTTCTTCTTAATTTTATTATTATAATTTTTTGGAAGGGTTCCTCGTCTGCAGTTCCTGACATCACACTGATGTTCTTCACTTCTGAGCTCTCCACCCAGTCAGCAGGGGAGCGCTGGACCAGAGACGCACAAGCAGGGGAGAGCAGGCTGATGTTAGCGGCTGTGGTGAGGCTCTGTCTGCCAGTTTAAAACTAAAGAAACAGCTAAGACTCGTTTAATGAACAATTGTGGCTGCTGCGCTCGGTTTAGAGACCATGGATGCGCTGCACGGCCGCTGACCTGGCGGGTTACTTGTTTTGTGAAGTGTGCGCAGGAATAGATGCTTCACTTGATTGAGCCCAGATGATTTTTTTTTTGCAAAGTGATGGCAGGTCGTTAGCAGCTTGCTTTCAGTTTTCTCGGAGTTGGTGTGTGTGCGTGTGTGTGTGATTACTTCTCTGCACCCCTCTGATTACTTCTTACACCTGACTGTTAACAATGATCACCGGAGGTCCCGTTTCAGCGCGACTCGCTTACACAACATCTACTGTGCATGTGCATCTCGTCTTGTGCGGCCGCGACTTTATTTGCAGATAACTTTTGAACCTGAACTCAAACTCAGGCTGTGGACTAGTTTCAGTCGGACTATGACTTGGTCCAAACTTTGCTCTGCGCTCCTGCGGATGATCCAGTGAAACGTGCCAAGTTGTCTGTAGTTTAATCGCGACAGCCTTGAGATGTTAGGAAGTCCATCAAACAACGGCGGCATCAGGATGCTGGCGCCTCCGGCTCCAAACGACGAGAGGCGGGTAGAGTTTGTGGCTCTCACCGCCGTCCAGACGGAGAGAAGCGAACCGTCCACTCCGGAGCGCGGACACCCGTCTCACCGCACGGGTCTGCTGGGCACCCCGCTGCCTGGACCGCCCGGACCTCGGGCCAACATGTCCGCTTCAAGCAAGCGCTACAGAAAGTTTCAAAACTGCCTGTACAACGTGCTAGAAAGACCAAGAGGATGGGCATTCATCTACCATGCATTCATGTAAGTGTGTCATGGCTTTAATTTTGTGTGAGTGTGAACATCCCTAACACATTAAACTATAACTTTATAAAAGTTTGGAAAAAGAAGGAAATGTTGGACTTCCCAATCCAGCCTTTTGATCTCTGCATGCCAGCAGTTATTAGATAAATTTCCCAATTAGCCAACAGAGTTGCTTATGCCGCAATTAGCCTGGTCATATGCCATACATCATCTCAACATGGGGTCTGCTGTTCAATTTCCCCTTGTCTCTGTCTCATTAAATCATCAGGGGGACTTATGATGTTAAATTTAATTTGCTCAAATCCACATGGGGGAATTTTTATTTTATTTTTTAAATCATAGTCCTTTTGTAAACACTTTGATGTCTGTCTGAAGTTTGTGTTTTGTAGGTTTACATGCTTCACTCAAGGCGCTGAAAAGTAAAAGTGTGGATTATGATGATAATGATTAATAAATTTTAAAAAAGCTCTATTAAGAAATAGAAACTCTCCTCACCGGTGAAGTAAGAACTCATTCTGAACCCTAACACCGGAAGCCTAAAGATAAGTTCTACAATTAAAAGCGTGTACTAAACATAGATGTGAAACTAAAGCAACTCTCCTGCTGCAGAAAGTATTAAGTCAGGGCTTTTAAAGGAGCCTGTATGGCCTTATGTTCAAGAATGTATATACAACATGTAAACACGGGGAGAGTATGAGCTCACTGCTGGTGGTGCCGGTCCCCTCTGACACACCAGGAACTTAAGAGTAGTATGTGAGACATAAGTCATTCATTATATCAAGACATAAAACCCAACTGTCTGGTTTTTACCCTCTTCACGTCTCTTCAATTTAAATTCAAAGCTGCATATATATGTTAGCCTAAACGTCTCACTATATTTGAGCGTCTTTTTAAGTCAAGCATAGGGCAGCTGTGCACCGGCACCTGTCTCCCAGCTGTGTCTGCGGCTGGCATGTAGTGGACAGAGCTTTATGTATGGGAGCTCCTCGGACCGGGTCGTGCTTTCTGCGTCGTTGTTTAGAAGAGTGCAGCTGTCTGCCTGCCGGTGCCATCATGTGTTTATAACAGAGGGAAATCCCACTTCAGGGCAGTGATTCTCACATGTCCACATCCTATACTGCAGCGGTCCCCAACCTTTTTTGCGCCACGGACCGGTTTATGCCCGACAGTATTTTCACGGACCGGCCTTTAAGGTGTCGCAGATAAATACAACAAAATAAAACTAGTACCGGTACCAAAAAAAAGAAGATTTATTCATAACACACGTGAAAAGACCCAGGAAAACAGAGTTAACGATAAAAACGATAACAAAATAACGCTTAAAACCGATAAAAACCCTGAAAACCATACATTTCACACCTGAGCCTCAACTCTCGCGGCCCGGTACCAAACGACTCACGGACCGGTACCGGTCTGAGGCCCGGGGGTTGGGGACCGCTCCTATACTGTCTGTATATTAACAAGAGCACGTCAGTAAATGCTACAGCCCCACTTTAACCCACTTCACTTTTCTCCAGTTGTTTCTTCTTATGCCATTGCTACAGGACTGTGAGCATGCATTTCCAGCACACACGGGACTACGTGTCATGCACCTCTTCCACCTGATGTGTTACTCATTAAGAGCGATGGCCTTTACAGGGTGGCAGCCTGTGACATTCTCCTTGACATTACTGGGGTGTTGGAGCGAATCGCGGCTCTGCCATTGTTGTTAGTTCTCTGTTAGAGAGGCAAAGCATGCACTCGGAGGTGCCCAGATCGAGTTTCAGATGTCACGGCCTCAAAGCTGATTTTGGAAGCGAGTTGCTCCTGTGGCGGCCTATTTTACGTTGACTGCAGAATGTACCTGAGAATAAAATGTGCAAAGCTTTTCAAGAAGCCTTGCACTAAGACGTGAAATATATTTGCTGCACATATGTCTACCTGAGCGCATCATTCCCACGGTACTTCATCCGTCTCAGCTGGGCATTTATTTTGATTAATTACATGTGTGTTGCTCTCCAAGAGGATAACTGTGTGAAGAAAACTCTTTGTACGAAGAAGCTCAATTAAGGCTGTGTTGATCTGTTGTAATTAAATTGAGCTATACACTGCTGTGTAGGGTGCTGTGCTAACTTTCCCTTGATCCTTTAATTAATCCTGTGTTGTAACAGGGGACCCTGGAACAGATGTGTTGCTTAGAGGGCCTCTCTTTGCAGCTGTTGGAGTGTGCATGGAAAAGCATTGAAGCAGGTCTCCACTGTAATGACTCCTCACATGAAGTCCCACAAGTTCCTCACCTCTGTTTGTCAAATCTGCGAACACACACACACAGAGATTTTTCTCTTTAAATCTTGCCTTTTAAAGGTTTTGGTTACAGTGTTGTAAATGTCTGGATCTTGAGTGTGTGGGATGGAGAAAACATTTCTCACACTCTCCTGCAGGTGTAACAGCTGCTGATTCAGAGCTGACAAAAAGTTCTCTTCTACTCTCCATCCTTTGCTCTCCTGCTCTATTATCCCATCAAATCTCTTTTTTTTGTGCTTACCAATAAAATAAAAAAAGGGCGTTGAGGCAGGAATTTGTTAAAAGAGATTATAGCGTTCATGGAAAGTTCTGTAATAAACACAGAGAGAGTTCCTTTGCTCGTAAACTTGGTCGGTTGTGTAGACGGCAGACAGGTTCTTGCAGAGGCTCTGGTTCAAATGGTGAGTGGAGCCTTTGAACCGTGTTAAGTTTGGCGTGCCCTTTGATAGCCTTTCCCTTACTCACTGTCAAAGCTGAAGACCTCTTTGACACCTTTGAGTCCCACAGCTTTATTTCAGCTGCAATAAATCTATAGCGGCAGCTGTTATGGTGTTTAACTCTGTTACAGACCAGCTGCCTGACAAGAAGCCTATTCGTTAATACTGTCACTAATGATTGTTTTTCTTATTAATTAGCCTGTAAGATTTTCAAAAAAATTGCTTATTTTGCTAAAATTGTGTAAATGTCCCATCACAGTTTCCCAGAAAACAGGGAGATATTTTAGCCAGCGCCAACACATGAGGTCTGTTAGTGCTGCGGAACCCAGTGTTACATATATGTGATTTTCTTCTTGGGGATTAAGACACTTATCGCTGACATATGACTCATTAGGGCAAAATGACTTTCATTTGAATTGTAGAAACTCTCTTTTTGCCTTACGTAATATGTAAGCCATACAAGGCCCGCTTGCATGTTTTCACATCTGCACGTTTTTTGTTTTTCTAGCAAAATATACATAAATGGAAAGTGGCTCAAGACTTTTGCACAGTTCTGTGCTCGATCTTAAGTTTATGGTTTGGTGCAGTATTCGGACTTCATTCTTAATATACAGAAAGAGTGTGTGAGGATGGACGGGAAAAAGAGACTGAGCATTGGCCAGCCAGAGTGATTGATTGGCTCGAAGGAGGGCAAAAATATACCGGTCATGTATTATTGATGTCCTATAGTGAAGGAGCAGAAATGTGCAGGAAAAATATCACATGGAGGTTTTGGTTTGAGCTTGTGCTTCTATGAAGACCTCTTTGCAAACGCTCTGTGTAGGACTATTAGCAGGTTAAAAGACACTTTCTCCTCTCTTTTCTGGCTTTGCTCAAGTGCACTCTGTGAAAACAGTAATACAATACCTTTTGTTGCTCTGCAGATGCTTTGTCAAGTCCTAGAAACAAAACAAACCCTGATGAAGTCAAAGGGGAATCACCAGGCTTATTTTAGCAGTCATCTGCAGGATAAAAATGACCTCTAAATATGTAACTCATATTTAAGTCCACCTGCCTTTCTTCTTTGCTCCCAACCTAATTACAATAACTGCTTGAAAGCCTTTTTTTATTTGTAAAGATGAAAAGATGTCAAATTTCCACACTAGCTTTCAAAATATACAGTCAAGCACACAAAGTGAAGGTGTGGACTTTACTAACAAGGAAAGACAGGTGAAAGAAATTATGGAGAAGTACTCGTAGGCCTTTCAAAGGCTCTCTTTCAAAGGCCTCTCCTGCTTTACCGTTCCTTTAAAAAAAAAAAATTGAATCCTTTTAAGATGACTTTCTTCTAACCCACATTACATTACATCTGAAAGGAGCTCACTTTACTCTTGCAAATGTTAATGTTTCTAAAGAAATGATCGTTAATCTATCAGATCTGTAAACAATCATTTCCAAAGCAAGCTTAATCTTTGTCAGATGAACCACTGAGACTCCACGCCATGTATGAATATCTTTACTTCAACCTTTTATGGCACAAGCATCAGTGATGGTGTGTGTTTATGAAAGCTTGAGCCTAAAGCCACATTATTTATAGATGTTAAGGGAGATACGGCCTAATGCTCTCCATAACCTCTCCACCGATGTTTACCCAGAGCGCCTGTGTGGCTATAGTTAATTTTTCACACATCTTATCTGTAAACAGAGCAGCTCCACACTGAATGTATCTCGCAAGCTTTTTCAACCAAAGGTGAATTGCCTTTGTGACATTATTAAACTCATTTAGCTCAGACAGCTTGTTGATTGAATGTGCTCCCTCTATCCGTCGACTCTTGCAGTTTTGCCTCCTTCTGAAGCCACTTTGAGCCAGCTAATCTACTTTCTCACCTGGCTCAGGGAAACCGTGTGGTCTTTTTTCCCCCCCAGGTTTTCAACCACGCGACACAAAATCCGCTAAAATCGCCGCCCTCTGCCGTCCTCCAAAGAGCCACTGACGCGTTTGATGCTGGACCTTTTTTTATTATTAATAGTTTGAGTAATGCTGGAAAATTGCTTTTTGTAGGTTGTTTGCATTTTTAGCTTGCACACAAAAGTGTTTTTATTGATGACTAAGGAAGAGAGAAAGAAAGGTGAGAGGGAAGTCTCACCAGAGTGAAGTGCCATTGTGAAATGGTGTGGGGAGAGAGCTACGCTGCACTTTTAACCTGCTCGGGGCTGCAGATTAGATGCTTGGTGTTCATTTAGTGCTGCTTTTGTTTTAATCTGTTCACCTCAGCAAGGTGTGCAAATTCTGCTCCATTA